AGCCCCAAGAGGTGAAATAAACCTCACGGTCGGTGTTGAAAACAAGGTATTAGTTAATCAAACATTAAATAAGTTCCTAAATATCCTAAACATAATATTGAACTTTAATCAAAATCTTTCTTGCCCCTTTTAACAACAAAGAAAATATACAAACACTTCAACTTAAAACTATCCCATTTAGGCTACCCAAAGCCCACCACCTACATGAGATGGTTCTAGGAATCTACTGTTTAGGTATAGGCCAGTTTTCTCTTTTCTGCTCTGTGTTGATGCTCTGCATTGACCACTGTGTGTTTTTTTTTATGTGTTAGCCTTTCTTGTGTTCCTGTACGTTTTTTAGCTTTCTTTTGCATGTTGCTTTAGTGAGCGTTTTAGGATACCTATAGGTTAGCACGGCTTTTTCATCTATGCTGTTTTTGCAGTGGCCGTTGCTTAACCAGCGCTAAGGGGCTAAAATTATTAATAAAAATGTATAACTGGCTTTATGGACCTGCTTAGCTGCTATAGCCCACCAAATAATCAAGAGCAGGCAGGGATTTATTTCTGCATTTCATTCATATATAACTGGCGGGACGATTTTTTTTGGATTATTTTGATATAATGCTTTAGGATTAAAACCCCTTAGAAAGAGTCTAATTTTTTTTCTCTTTCTGATTAATGTATTTGATAGTAGTTTTGTGAAAATTATTAAAATAGGCCATTATAATTTGAGGGTCCAAGGGCAAAAAAAACTCATACAAGAGTTCCTTTCATTTGGGCATCCTTTGGAGATCAACAAGTTGCGAGATGATCTGAAATGATCCAGAAGACGAATCAGGAAGTGATAGAAAAGAGAATGAAGAGATAAAAATGCCTTATTTTAAATTTGCGTCGTTCCGGTGTTGTCGGTAGCCCGGCACTTACTTTTCTTTAACTTTGGATAATATTGTTATGGCAGCCAATGACACTCTCTTTCGTGGGCTTTTGTTATTTTGTTATGTTTATTTATTTGCGCATTAGAAACTGCATGCTTTTTCCTAGGTTTTTAAATTGTTTTGTTTGGGTGTGGCATCGGAACGGAGTCAAGTTAGGGCTCTTAGGATGTTAAATTTTTTATAAAGTTAAAATCTATTTAAGCAAGATAAAAAGTATATATGATTAAAATTAACCAATTTTTCTAAAAAATTAATGTATGATTCCTTTAAAGGTCACTTTTTTACATTACATAATTAAAGCCTTGTCACTTACATGACTATGGGCAGTCCTGATTGGCCTTACCTACACATGCATAGCCTTGAGTAGATATAGATTTTTTCTTTTTTTTTTTTAAATAGAGGATAATTCATTTTGATAAGCATAGTACCATCATGGTTGGTTTAAACCCATTTTCTTTTCTATACTCCCACACTCTTACTTTGCATTAGATTGGACAATATGGATTTTATACGACTAGGTGGGTTTTAGCTGGTCCCCTTTTCGCAGGGTGGCAAATCCGGTCGGGGTGCTTAGATCCTAGTGGTTTATTTTATAAGTCCACTCGGTGTTGTCTTTTCATCTGTGTTAATTCGAGTCCATTATTTTCTCTTTAGGTAATAATCTAGTCTTTCGATCTTTAAACTCAAATCTTAATATTATCTTTATCATTTAAAAAGTCGTATCATGTAAAGGAAAGAGAAAGAGTTTATCTCTTCAGAGTAGATTAGGAACTTCTCTGGTGCACAAATCAAAGAAATTATACACATCCTTAATCGAAGTTTCTTAATCTGCAAGTCTAAGATGTAATTTACTTACGGGGGCTTCTGGCGTTCGTAGGAAAATCGATCCCCCACAATACAAATAAACCCTATTCGAGCTGAGTATCGATAGGGGAATTCGTGAATTTAGAGTTATAATATTATATCCATCGAGGTGTGTAGGTGAAGCGTACTTCATGCTATCGTATATATAAACTCCATCGCTCTCCATCGGCCTGCTGTGCGATGTAGCCTACGTACTCATTGTTATAATTGGGGATAGTTTGATCGTTACCCTTTGCATTCGAACCACACGAGCAGAGAATCCTTTTCGGAACCCAAGATTTCTGGCGACCAGCTGCATGGGACAGGTTTCTCTCTTCCATCTTTGGAGTGTTTGTTATATTCACTTCTTGGAGTAATTTAATTTTGGTGCTTAGTTTGAGTTTCCATTTTCTACTCCACGTATTTTCTCTTAATCTAATGAAGTTAGACATTTTTAATGTATAAAAAAATTTAGTTAATTTAATTAAGATTTTGAGTTTATTAGATCTTTATCTTAAATTCAACTTCATATTAATCTATTTTATTCTCTTTGTTCAAATCAAGATTCTAATGTCTATCAATTCCTGGTTGAAATTCTTTTAGACTTAATCTCGATTCATTTCATTTCAAATGAATGTCCACATTTCATCCTTGATTACATGATCCATATACTTGGCATAAACTCTGATCTCTATAATCTCCCTTGTTTGAGCTCTTTTAGATTAGATCTCGATTCATATCAGTCTAAATATAAATCCAAATGTTATTTTTAATAGAAGGGTCCCTAAATTTGATATATATGAATTTTTCAAAAAAAAAAAAAAAAAAACTTTATTTGAGAAAAGTTTGAGGGTTTGAAATATAAGATAAATTGTTGAGGGAATTTTCTTCAGAGAATTAGTGACTTATTTTCCTTAATGAAAATTTACCTCCTTTTTTTTCTATTTAAAATACGAAGTAAGTGTTGGTTGACCCATCTAAACACTTAAAGAAGAATATTCATGATGATCCATAAAAAAAAAAAGAGCATGTCCTCTCCCTCCCTTCTCTTGTGTAGGGTGATTTTATTTTTTTTGAACTCAAATCTATATCAAAGTGAAATTTGATTTCGAAATAAAAATTTTCTCTATTAGCTTGCAAATTTTCTATCTCGTAGGTATCCTTTGCATACCTGTGAATTTATTTCATAATTTTCTCAATCAGGTTGTTCATTCTTATCATGGGATTGAGTTTGTTTTGTGAATTTTCCTTCCTTACATAAGAGAGTGAGTTTTCTTCTCTTATGTTTGAAAGATAATTTTACAACTGAGAAAATATTCTCTTAAAGATTTAGAAAGGAAGTCAATTACAAAAAAAAGAAAGGCGCAATGTTCGCCAAAATGAAAGTTGCACAAAGTGTAGCAAAATGAAAAGATGCGCAAAGTGCGCCAAAAAAATAGAGGCGCAATGTTCGCCAAAGTTATTAAAATATTCACAAAGTGAACCCAAAATGAATAAGTAAATGACTTCACTTTCTTGTAAATCTTTAAATCTCAGAAAACTTAAGTCCTCTGATTGTTTGATATTTGAGTTTGAAAATTATGATCTTTGAATTCATTATTATGCGATGATATTCTATTAGATATAAAAATATTCTTCATGCAAGAAGATAGAGAAGATTTAATTTCTTTATCTAATTTATATCTTTTTGAACTAGATTTTAATTTAAAAAAATACATATCTAAGGGAGAGAGCCCAATTTAGCTTGTAGGGAGCTTGACTTGGGCTAGCAAATTTTAAATCCCTAACCTTTTTGGGTTTAGATGGGGTCAACCTATTTGTTACTGAATTTTTAAATTTGGTCCCGTTTGTCATTTTGACTGGGTCAAAATAATAAGAGGTAAATTTTTCATTCTTAAAGATAACACCCTTACTCTTTGATAAAAATTTCACTCTTTGAAAATATATGAATTAAATTTTTCTCAATTAATTGGTGGGTATTTGATTTCTCTTAGTGGCTCCACTATTGAGTATATTTAAATACTCATCTTATTCTTTTAAAAATTCATGGATAAAAATTTCTGGACCCTAATATTTGATTATAATTAATTCTTAAATGACTGATATGATTCTTTCCTAGATTGCATATGTTTTCTTTTGAATCCTGGTTGTTTCGAGTTATGGTTGTTTTGCTTATAAATAATCATTTGATGTGCATTTATTATATTGATATTCTATTTGCCGTCATTTCTTATTTGGGAGTCACTATCCCGTTCAAGCTATTTATTTTGTCTGATCGTTTGGTAGTCACTCTCCGTTTCAAATCCTTATTCCATTTTCTCAATTGGGTTCATCCCCTTGGATCTTTTTCTAAGTGATTATTCTGATTGTTCTTTCTCATATTGATGTCATGATATCTTTACCTTGATTTTGCACGAATGTTGATCTTCTTTCCATGTTGGTGCACCTCTATGGACGGACTCGTGTGAGAGGCTTTCCCTTTGATGTTATTTGTGGTTTCCTTTGTTCGGGAAGCCCCTTTTGATACTCTCCTCTTCTCTTCACCGACAGACTTATGGTCGGGTGATTGTCCTTTTTTTCTACTTTGTCCTACCGACAGACCTATGGTCGGGTAGGGACTCTGTTGTTTCGGGGCCTATGGCCGAGCAGAGGTGTTTCCTCTTCTCTTCACCGACAGACTTATTGTCGGGTGATTGTCTTTTTTTTTTTTCTACTTTATCCTACCAACAGACCTATGGTCGGGTAGGACTCTGTTGTTTCGGGGCCTATGGCCGAGCAGAGGTGTTTCCTCTTCTCTTCACCGACAGACTTATGGTCGGGTGATTGTCCTTTTTTTTACTTTATCCTACCGACAGACCTATGGTCGGGTAGGGACTCTGTTGTTTCGGGGCCTATGGCCGAGTAGAGGTGTTTCCTCT